CCGGGCCTGTATGTCCCTGTCAGCTGCCGCTGGGTCTGTCTGCCTCTGCGGGCCGCCAACGGGCCTGTATGTCTCTGCTGGCTGCCACCGCGGGCCTACCTACCTCTGCCTGTCACTGCTGTCTGGCCCATCCACCTCTGCGAACTGCCACGGGGCCTGTATGTCTCTGCTGGTTGCCGCTGTGCCTGTATGTCCCTGCCGGCTGCTGCCACCGGGCCCTTCCACCTCCGCGAGTCGCCGACCTGCATCCGCCTGTCTCTGCTGCGTGGCCTGTCTACTTCTGTGGGCCACCGCCAGGCCTGAATGTCTCTGTCGGCCGCCGCCGCCGGTCCTGTCCACCTCTGTCTGCTTATCTCTGCCGCAGGGCCTGTCCACCTCCGTGGGCTGCCACTGGGCCTGAATGTCTCCGCCAGCTGCTGCTGGGCCTAAATGTCCCTGTCAGCCACTGCCGCCGGACCCGTCTACCTCCGCGGGCCGCTGCCACAGGCCTACCTGCGTCTGCTTGTCTCCGCCATCTTCGGAAAATTTCAATTTTAAGGTAGTACTGTATCTAAATAAAGGTTCTAAAGAGTCCAAAATAAGTAGGAGGGGAAAGAAATTTGTGACAATAATAATCCTAGATTTTGGTTTTCTTCTGTCCCATGTTGGGTGGCTCTTCTAATATGAAATAGATATTCTGATTTTTTTTTAACATATTTGGATTTAGAGGAGAGTGCTGTATCCCAATTCCAAAGCTAGCTTTAGTTTTAATCAAGTCAGGACTATAAATTTTTAGAGAAGTAAAAAGATTTTAATATTTATGTAGAGAGATTTTATCTTGTAGAGAATATTGGTACCATTTGGTCAGATTTTTCCTTGTTTGGTAATTTTTTCTGGATAACATTCCATTCTTTTTTTATATCCACGTCTTTTGACTTCTTGAAGATGAATATTTCTATTTTCCTGAAAAGACAAAAACAGAATCCTGACCTGACCCTTATTTGGTGAGTTTTCCTTTCAATATGTAGAATTGTCATATTGGTTGATGAACTATTATTTCTCCTTGTTAAGAGTTCTCTCCTGCTTGAATTCAATCTTTCTTAATTTTGATGATATTCATAGCTTTTCTTCTCCTGTGGAAACAAAAGTGAAAACCCTTCCCCAACATAACATATATCCTGGTTTCCATTCTGAGATCAATATGCCTTTAGAGTATATAGGTTGATTTAGTTCAGCAGTATTTTCTATTGTCTAATGTCTCTCCACAGCTGTTGTTTCTTTCTTGTTAGCATCTAGAAAATTTAAAGTTAATAAGGCATTATATAATCTATCTCTGGGGACTTTTTCATTACACATTTCTTTTAAAATGCAATTAGATATTTTTACAATAGTTTGTCCTGTTGGATTGGTGGTATATCTGTAATATGCTTTATATTATAATACATAAAAAATTGTTCAATTTTATTAGAGACATATGCTGGAGCATTGTCAGTCTTAATTTGTACAGATATTCCCATGATGACCATGACTTTTAATGGGTGTGTAATTACAGAATCAGTCTTTTCAGAACTCAAAGCAATTGCCCACTGAAATACTGAAAACAAATCTATTGTATGATGTACATATTTTAATTTTTCAAATTCTGTAAAATGAAACATATCCATTTGTCAAATTTTATTTCTTTGCATACCTTTGAATTCCTTTCTGTATGTAATTATATGTAATGGAGTTTGGTTGTACAAGGAACAAGTAGAATTTTTTTTATATTTTCCATGGCTTGTTGCCAAGTGATGGAAAAATCCTTTTTTAAACCTTTGCTATTGACATGATGGGTTTTTTATGGAATCCTGTGGCCTCTTGCATATTTTCCATTAGCAACTGTCTGAGATGGTCTGCACTTTGGCTGTGCTGGGGAATGGTCTGTATGTCAATTTCATCATTATCTTCTGTTAGAGGACCTGGCAGACTCCTATGGGATCTGATGTGTGTTTTATATATATGGGATTATTCCTATTTCTAATTATTTCCTGTAATTGTATAAATAATGAATTTAATTCTAATTCATTAGAAATAAGTGGTTTCAATGTGTAAAACAACTGTTTTTGCATATTGAGAGTCAGTAACTTTATTGAGAGGTTTTATAAAATTTATTAGTACCATGAGAATGGCATATAATTCTGACTTCTGCATAGAGTCATTGCTGTGGGATGTTCTGTATGTCCTGTGGGAGCCTGTTCTCGGGTTCCTCATGACTTTACCCAGCAGGTCTGCATAGAGGATGATTAGGACTACAAGCCTGAGTACAGGTGTCTGAGATGGTCTGCACTTTGGCTGTGCTGGGGTCTGTATGTCAAGTTGCTCTGACTGGTCAACAAATAAAACCTGATTGGCCGGTGGCTAGGCAGGAAGTATAGGCGGGACTAACAGAGAGGAGAAATAAAAGAACTTTGAACCATTTTACTTAAATTTCTCAATTTGTAGTCTGCCTTTTCAGATTTGTTTTCTTCATTATAGAATATAGGGGCTCCAGAGATTGGTGTTCTCCTTATAATGTAAGGAAGGACCCAATTGGTTCCTTTTATTAATTTAAGTCTCTTGCTTTGGGGATAATTATTAAACTTTCCCAAAAAGTTACTGTAAGCTCTTTGCCAATATTCATTTTTTGCCCATAAAAAGGAAATTTACTCATTAATAAAAGGTACTACAATTTCTACTGGATCCATTCCTGTCAACTGACAAAGTCATAATTTTTCTTTTAGAATCAACTCAGAAAACTTTTCCATATAAGTTTTTCATTTCTTACTCTGTGTGAAAAAAAAAATATCCATTTCAAGACAATATCTTTCTTCTGCATTGAAATCCCTGTAGAGGAGTGCATAGAGGGTAATATAACCAGAATGCAGTCAAGCTTCAGATTCACATGATCCATATGTGCATCCTATAATTTTTTTTCCCACCAAAGCCAATTTTCTCTCAGCTTCCCCTGATAATTCTCAGGGACTATTTAAATATTTGTCACCTTTTAAGGTTTGAAACAAATTACTCAGTTTTGAATTTTTTACTCCAGTAGTGGGCCATAGATTGGCAATGTTTCCTAGCAATCTTTGAAAGTCATTAAGAGTCTGTAATCAGTCTCTCCTGAATTGTACCATTTGGAGTCAAAATTTTTGTAGACATATTTTATATTCTAAGTTATTAATAGAATTTCCTCTTTGTATTTTTTCAGGAGCAATTTGTAATCCCCTATTAGGCAAAACTTTCTTTACTTCTTCAAACATTTTTTAACGTAGCTACATTTGAATCAGCTAATAACATATCATCCATATAATGGTAAATTATAGATTGTGGGAACTGTATATGAATTATTTCCAACAGTTGCACAAAATATTGGCACAGGGTGGGGCTATTTATCATTCCTCATGGGAGAACCTTCCTTTGATATCTCTTAACAGGCTGAGAATTATTATAAGTATGCACTGTGAAACTAAATTTTTCCCTAAACTTTTCTTATAGAGGTATAGTGAAGAAACAGTCTTTTAAGTCAGTAATTATAATAGGCCATCCTTTAGGTAACAGAGAAGGCAAATAAATTCCAGGCTATAGAGAGCCCATCAGCTGAATTACTTTATTTATGGCTCTTAAATCTGTTAGCATTCTCCATTTTCCAGATTTCTTTTTAAAAACAAATACAGGAGAATTCCAAGGCCTGATTGATTCATTAATATGTTGAAGTTTAGCTGCTCCTGAACCAGCTGTTTTAAGGCCTGTAGTTTCTCTGATGTCATAGGCCATTTCCCAACCCAGACATGTTTGTAAGTTAACCATTTTAAAGGTAGGCTGTTGGTACCTCTGAGAGATCAACAGCTGTTGTGCCATGCTTTTGTACAGCCTAAATGGTCAGTGACTGTTTTTTATAGTACCTTATAATATTCTTTTCAGGAACATGAATTGGTTTATGGTTTGTTTTTGAGATTGGATGAATGTTAACCGAGGCATTACGTTGCTATCATGACCCCATAGATTCACTGCTATCTTAGCCATCTATGGCCTTAATTTTCCTCTCTGTCCTTCTGGTCCTATACATTCAACCCATCTCATGCTTTGTTTTTACCTGAGATAGAGTACCAATCCCTAAAAACTGAATATCTACCTCCCGAAGAGGCCAATTTGGATGCCATGATTCTGGTGAAAGTATGGTCATATCTTCCCTTGTGTCCAAGAGACCTTCAATTACAATGTCACTTACTTGTACCCTTTGCTTTAGTCTTCTTTAGTCTTGATTATTTATAGAAGTCTGCTAAAATATTCATTTCATGGTTTCTCCTGGAATTTTTGACTCATCTTCCAAAGCTGTTCTATCATCCAGAGCAGTATGGTGTATTACAATAGGCTCTGGATCCTCTAAGTGTTCTAGGGAAGAATTTCCCCCACTGTAACTGGGAATGATTAGACCACATTCAACATGGGGGCCTGTGAGAGGCCCCCCAAGGCATTTCCTCATGGAAAAGGTTTGCATTGTTTTACTCTTATTGATCTGCATTCATTGGTCCAATGTCAGCCTTTGCCACATCTTCTACATAATTCAGAAGGTTGGGGTCTTCTATTTGCATTATCCCTAGAAGAAACATTGTTTCTAGAAATTCCTTATCTACTATTTCTTCTTAGATGGCCTGGTTTACCACAATTAAAACACTTGCTGTTTTGATGTGTCTTCAGGCCTTTGGAAATCACCTCTCCTATCCAAGCCTTATCACCGTAGTTAAGAGACTCAATACTGACAGTACTTTAAGTCCATTCTTCTATGGGTGCTGATCTTATGTTTAAAGGCCCAATTATCTTTTTTTAATTCTAAATTAGCACTCATCTAATATCTGGATCTGATATCATTCTATTTCAGCTTTAGTCAATCTTCCCAAAAAGTTAGTGAAGGGTTATTTTGAACATTGTATAACTTTAATAAATGGCTCAGTTCTTTTTTCCTGATTCTTGAATTTTATCCTAAGCATTTAAGGCTGCTGTATGGCATAGGGTCAGTGACTGTTTTGTATAATACCTTATAATATTCTTTTCAGAAACATGAGTTAGTTTATGTAGCCTAATTATTTACATGAGCATGATGGTCCTCATCATGTATTGATCTTGGGAAATCTGAAAATCTCTAATCTCACCTTGCTGTTCAAGGGCCTTAGCTTCTTCCCTCAACCAGCTTTTCCATTCTAACTGAGGACCATATTCTAATACTGCTGAGACTAATTGATTCTAGTCATTTAAAGTAATTTTGTTACTAGAGGACCACGTATTCAACATCTGCCTCACATATGCTAAATGCGTACCATAGGAAAATATTATTTCATATGAATAGGTTCTCATTTTCATTCTGTATATCCTCCAGGGTAACTGCTATCTGCTGGCCTTTCATAAGCAGTAACAGAATAAATCATGGCAGGTGTGCTAGCAATCCTAGGCCTAGCCATGTGGGGCGTGGGTCCTGGCAGGGCCATTTGGGGTCAGGCCACATGGGTACCAGGTAAAGTAAAATGCAACTGAAGTCTGGTCAATAATTTACTAAGGGATGAAATTGGAATTACAAACTCATGTATACAGAATGAAGTGGTGTCATTGCCTCCTTGTCCACCATGGAAGGATGGGGAAAGCTCCATACAAACTCACCAACCCATGGTACCAAGAAACCTTCTACATCCTAGAGAGAGTGTGTGACCCTCCGCCTCAGTTATTATCTGGTCATGTACTCAGAAAAGACCAACCTCATAGGGCTAGTCACCCCAATTGACTAAATGGATCAAATTTCCACAATATAAGTCTATACTTTGTCCTAAAGATATTATATTTAGTAACACTTATATGAACTCACATTCTATGTGCCACAAATTATCCTAGCGGTGGAGCTTGCATCTGTGAAGAAAACCAAGGAAGAGTGAGAAAAATAATAAATTTACAAAGTGAATTATATGACTTATATGTGTGTTTAAAGAAAGTGGGTGCTGTGATAGAATAGCAGATGCAGGGATACTGGGTTTTGGCAGTTGAGGCTAATTTTTTTCCTTAGGGTGGTCAGGGAAGGCCACAGAGTCAGGAACCTTTGAACAGAAACTTGAAAGAGACAAAAGACAAAGTTAGAATCTAAATCTCTATTACAAGTAGAATTAGAGAAAGGAAGGGTATTCCAGACCAAGTGGGAGATAACAAAAGTAAAACAAGAGCCATGGGGCATAGAGGAAGGAATGATCCCTGTGTAGACCCTGGAGCCAAGGGGTTCCCCAGACAGCTTATGTAAGAAACCTAGCTGGGACTGGAAGGCAGGTACGGTTTAGAGTTGGCTATATTGAATATGCACATTGGAAGACAGTTTGGGGCTGTCACCAGCTTCAAATCTATGCATATATGGGGGCTACTCTTATTCAAACCACCATCTACTCAGATATTCACAAAGCTTGTCCACAAAGTGGCAACGGTCATAACTATGTTTGAGGTGCCAAGGGTTGATGGCTGTGTCCAAGCAGGGTAGAAAACAAGAAAATCTTCAGTACTGAGTTTCCCCAAAGGAACTATGCCTTGACTCCCCCCTGGCCCAGGCCTTGCAGACTCTCTGGTAATGTAGCCATATTGGGGGCTGAGAGGTATATGGAAACCAGTTAAAGCTTATGGCACTTCCAGGGCCTCCCTGGCTGCTGCACCTGGGCAGCAAAGGAAGCTGAAAGAGCAGGCATTTGCCATTTTCCCCTCATCCCATGCTAAAGTGGGGGACTTGGGAAGCAGGATGGAGCACCAAGTTCCTGACATGCATGGGAATTTCAGGATCCAGTGTAGATAATAGGAAGCCTGGGGCCTAACCTCCCTGAGAAACCTCAGGAGCCTTACCCAGGCAGGATGTAGGAATATGGCTCTGCAGATCAAGAAGGAGAGGAGCATATTGCCTGAGTTGCCCTTATATTGGAGGGTACAGAGGTAACCTATGAGGCCACACAGGGGGACTGCTCCTCTGCTGGCAGGATGTTCTGCCCCGCCTGCCAAGACCCTTAAGAAAGGGAGTCAAGGCATAGTTCCTTTGGGGAAACTCAGTACTGAAGATTTTCTTGTTTTCTACTGTCCTGCTGGGCTGAAGCAGAGGGGACAAAGAGGGCACTGGGCACTTCCCTGGTACAGTCTGCTCAGCAGGGCAGAGGGGCTGAAGAGCTGCAACCCTAATCACTGCTTTGTCACTCTGGTTTCCTGTAGTTTCTCAGGGATGCTGGCTCAAGAGCAAAGTGTTTTTCCAGCATCAGAGAATACAGTGGAGCCTTGGAGGCCTGGAGGCAGCCTCTTTTGTCATAAGAGCCTTATACACCTTTCCATTAAGCTGGTTCTTTTGTGCTACTGCATGGAGGTGACGATTGTGGGTCTATTGCAGAGGTAATGCAGATACACAACCTCTTACCATTTCTGATATCTTGACCTAGGTGCTGGGCACAAGTCCTTTGCTTTTCTGCTACCTTTAACACCCACTCCTCAAACTAGGAGAAACTGATTCAGCCAGAGAATTCCAAGCTCTAGCACTGTTTCTCTAGCATAGTGAAAACACTTTTGCACCAGAAGTGATAGCCCTGACTAGGCCCACTGCGAATAAACTGCTGCAGTGACATGGCCTTGTGTTTTCATTGGCTGAAGCAGTCTCAAAGGGCAGTATTTGAAGTTCAAAACAGTGGACAAGTGCCTTTCTCATCACCTTCCAATACAACCCAGAAAAAGTTCACACATCCTGAGTGTTACTTTACAAGGAGAACAGGACTGCATAAAAATTTTAATGTAAGAACAAAACAAAAGAAACAAACAAACAAAAAACACAATGCACAATACCCAACCTGCTATACTTGTGGAAGGTAATTTTCTTGCCTTAAGACAGTAGGACAGAGTAAAAGAGATCCACTGAATTTAAGAAAGGAGCCAAGTGGGTTAAAGCAAGTCAAGCCTGCTAGGGGAGCCACAGAGAAACTCAACAAAAGCTACCAGCTCCCCAGGGAGGTCTGTAATCTTCTTGATGCATGCCAGAAACACCCTCATCACCTCCAAGTGTCTGGTAGGGTCACTTCAGGAACAACAGCACTGGGATCCTCTACTGTCACCTTATCATCATCAGTTCCTAAGAAGAAAAACATGAGATTTGAGCCAAGAGGAGGGTCAAGGAAGTGGTGAAGAAACAGTTCATGAGCTATCTCACCACTCTCTATGTGAGTATGGGCTTAGAAGTCTGAGCAGTCTGAGCATGACCTCTGGTTTTGCTGGTCCTCAGTTCTCTATGACTCATTAATACATTTGGTGATTTAGTTGGAGAAGGAAGGAGAGCGGGAGATCAGTGAAAATCAGGCTGAGGGAAGAGAAAAGTGAAAAAGAAGAGGAAGATGAGGGAAGAGAAGTCTAAGATTGCAGACGTGGGTACAGATGTTGAAGCATTCTAATTGTCTTTTACTTTACTTTTTTTGTTGTTGTTTTTCAAGACAGGGTTCTCTGTGTAGACCTAGCTGTCAGGGAACTAGCCTGACCCCAAACTCAAAAGATCTCTTCCTCCTGTGTGCTGCAATACCACTGTCCAGCCTCTCTGATTTTCTATGATGTGTAGAACCACATTGGTTTCAAGGTTAATGGGTATACCTGTATAACAATTAATTATAATAAAATATGAAGACATGGAGTTCAAACTTCACCTAGACCACTTTAAAATACAATGCTCAAGACTTCTGATTTACTCAGAGAATGCACCAAGCACAATTCTCAGAGCCAGGTCACTGTGGTCTGCATGAACTGTGAAGGATCCACCAGCAGAGGACTCCGAGGCATAGTGCTCATCATCAGGGTGCTCAGTGATCATGACCACTTTCTCTTACAACAAATAGAGTAAAATCCAGCCCCGTACTGTCCAATCATGGAGATGCTTGCAATAGCCAGTGAAAGGGTTTTAAAGTTAAGAGAGAGCCAGCAAGATGGCTCTGCAGAAGCCAAAGTTCTGAGGAACCCAACTGTCCAAGTTCTTCCCTGACCTCCAAAAGTACTCACTCAGCGGGGGGTTGGACTCGCCTTTAATCCCAGCACTCGGAGGCAGAGGTGGGCGGATTCCTGTGAGTTCGAGGCCAGTGTCTACAGAGCGAGATCCAGGAAAGGCGCAAATCTACACAGAGAAACCCTGTCTTGAAAAAAACAAAAACAAACAAATAAAAGTACTCACTTGAAAAATATACCACATACACAAGTCAAAAAAGTTTTGAAAAGTTAACCCAAAAGCAGTAATGAATTGAAAATCTATGGATGAAAGGCCACACACCTGGACAGCCTCCATTTACAATTTTGTGCCAGAATTAGCAATGGTTCCCAAGTCAGCCTTGGTCATTCCAATGCCTCTGTCTAGCAAGGCCAGCATACATCCCTGAGGGTTGGAGATGATGCCAATTTTCAGCTTTTACTGTAGTCTAACTTAGAAGGTTCTCTTAGACTCTCATAGTGAATCTTGTCCCAGGACTATAAATACATGCATATAGTCACATTATTCCATTTGTATAAAGTGTCCCTTCCCTTCCAAACTTGTGGCAGATTTTTGGGATCAATTGATGGATTATTCCTGTCAATCATTCCCACTAAGTATCCCAACACATCAATTCTCCACTTCTATAAACTTTTAAAAAATACAACAGAATACTCCCATTTGAAGCATTAGAAATCAACTCCTGTAGGAAACTTTTCTTCTTGGAATATAAAGTATTGATGATGAGGAACAGGAGGTGAATGACTTCTGCAAAGTTCTTTACCCCTTTCTCTGGCATTTATGAATGAAAAGATTATGTAGTACCATGGATCACAAAGGCTGCACCTTGTAAAATATTAAAGCTCATCTTTTACAATTAAGTGACCTTATTCAAAGGCAAATTTAATACTGCTTTAAGTCCCAAGAGATGAGAACAGATATTTTTTAAAAGATGTTAAAACTTTAGTGAAAAGGGATCAAGAGTGGAAAATATTCAAACAATGGTTCTTGAACCAATAGAAAGTCAGACTCCCTGGACAGTATATTAAAGCTAGGCTAGGTGGCTCAGAATCTTAACATCTGCCAATACATTTTGGAAAAAAAAATCCGGAATTATAGTTAACTAGATTGAGAACTACACACAATATCTGTGCACTTGTAAGTGGGTAGATTGTTCTTTTTCATCATTTGGGTAAAGACAAAAACTAAGAGAAAAAGTGGTAATTTCTCTGTGCTGTTCCCCAAGGGTCTAAGTTGATGAAATAGTTGTTCAGTGCCACCCACCAGGGAAAAAGAACCCCAGAGTATAGGAATGGAGGTGCTCAGTGTGAAGGCAATACAGACTCCATCTTAGGGAAAGGCCACCATCTTAGACCACCTGTTGTACTCAGTTCCAGGAAGAACATTAGGAATGTGCCATGACAACTAGAACAGATATAGGGCAGTATGCTCCTGCAGACATTCTGTCTGTGGTTTATGGCCCTTGAAGATATCTAGATAATCCTGTTGAGCAGCCTAGATAATCCTGCTCAACAAATTGTGGTTCCTCTCCAAAAAGTCCAACCCAATAGTTCCTTTTTTTTTTTTTTTTTTTTTTTTTTTTTTTTTGGTTTTTCGAGGCAGGGTTTCTCTGTGTAGCTTTGCACCTTTCCTGGAACTCGCTTGGTAGCCCAGGCTGGCCTCGAACTCACAGCCAACCCAATAGTTTCAAACATGGATTTACACCAAAAGTCTACACCAGTAGTTTAAAAAAAAATTACCTTGCCCTATATTCCTTCTATCCAATCCCAAGTTGTCAAAGCATGTCATTTCTGGCTTGTGGTTTCCTCCTTTAAAAATTCTTGACCTGTGGACTGCCACTGCTGCTGCATTTTCCTCCTCTGCCTGGCGGTGGCCCAGGTTTGATATTTACAATTAAAGGACCCTTATGTACTTGCATCAGAAACCTGCTCCCTGGTGGTCTTTGTGTGTTTCTCAAAATGGGTACAATACTCATTGAGGTGAGGTAAAAGCTCCACCATGACTGCTCTCTGAATAATTGCATAGGCCTCAAAACAAGTAAAATAGTTACTGACCCTGCCCAGCTAGCCAGTCAATGCAGAGCATGCTTGGGAAGGAACCACAAGGGGAGGAGGCACCATTGTACACCTTTCCACCACTCAACATCTAGTCACTGTTGTGGGGACCCAGAAGCTTCCACAACAATCTGAGCTCTTGCAAGAGGAGGAACCTAAGAATCTTCTGTTCCTGCCCTTTCACCATTTCTCCCCCTCCTCCCCTGGGAGCTCAGGAAAGATCTAGAAAGGGAAACTGCAGTGGGTTCAAGCATCCCTTGCCAAACCCTGGATCCATTGCCCAAACCAAGCACATTGGGAAAGGTGTCCAGGACAAGCGCCAGAGCCAACCTTGCTAGGCCGAGCTGCATCAGGTATAGAGCAGACCACCAGTAAGCAGAGGCTTCAGACCCAGATGCTACATCTAGGAGGGGACAGCATAAATGGGTGTGTTCAGTTTAGGTAGCTCCAAACAATGGGAGCGGCCACCTGGACAGGAAAGGCTGAGTTTCCACATTGTGAGCTGCTCCCCGGGGAGTCTTGCATCAGGCTTGCACTGCAGATGGCCAAACAGCTGGAGACTTCCGGGCTCCTCACCACACAGGTTACCTGGATGATGGAAGCCTTTGGGACAACAGATAATATCATGGGCAAGCTCTTGGAAAGGAATCTCCAGAGTGGCCAGGGACAGGCCACCAAGGATTGACAGTAGGACAGAGTGGGGTGATGGATCGACTCTCACACAAAACTCTAGCTGCGTGGGGCTAACTGTAGAGAGCTCTCCCACATGCACCAGGACCTCCATTTTAACTAGGAAGCACCTCTCTAGCCCCTCCTTCAGATTCTTCTGCATTAAAGGAGTGGGTGGCAGCTGTCCACACCCTGACATCCCAGGAGCAGCAGGACCCTGTGTGTGTGACCTGGAAAGCATTTCTCTAGCTACCTTTGGAGGAAGAAGCCACATTGGGAGTACTGTGATTTCTTCCAACAGTGCCGTGCCAGGGCCTGGTGCCAAGGTAAGGGAGAACCCAGACTCCAGCCTTTTTTGGCCAGGGGTGTGGGAGTATGGCCTGGCCGGGAGTGGTGCTGGTCTGTTTGGCAGAGTTCATTCCAGGGGCTGAAAACAGCATTTGTGGGGAAGGGGAATATAACAGTGAATACAAAGGAAAGGTCTAAAACGTGTTCCATTTCCAGTCTTTTGAAATAAGAGCTAGGATGCAGTTCAGTTATCTGAGTGCTTGCCTAGCATGCACAGAGCACTGGATTTGATACCTGGATCTAGGACAGGATACCTGCAATGCCAGCGCTTAAGAGGTGAAGACTGGGGGAACAGTTCAAGGTCATACTCAGGTACTTCTTGTCTCATTAAAAAAAAAAATGGCCAGGGGAAAAAATAGCTTCTATAGATCTAGGTCACAATCTGGATGTCTTTACTCCAAGTGTGTCTGTCCCTCCTCTGTGGTCCTAGCAGGGGGTATTGCAGCCCCTCTCTGGCCAAAAGCCTCCATTGTCCCTGAAGAGAGGCCCCTTGCCCTACATAGTGGGGGCTTCTTCCTGGACCCTGGATTAGGCACAAACCTCATTCAAACACTGTTTTCACAGGGAGATCTTTTATTAAGCAGGAAAGCAAAGTTAGAGTGGCTGCTTTCTGACTCAGGCAGAAAAAAACAGCAACAAATGACCTTGCATGTGTAATATTTAAAAAAGAAAAGAATGGGAGGTCTGTGTTATAACAGGCTAGGATGTGCATTTTAATTGGGCATGTTAATTAGGTGAACCGAAGGGGGCTTCTGACTGCTGAACTTTAGATGGCTGGACCTTGATAGTCAGTCTCAGGAGGAGACAGTGCCAAGTAAGGTAACAGTGGCTAGCTTTAGGAGTGTAATCTAATGGTTTTTAGCAAGGCAGAGGGAACTGGGGAGAAGGGCAAGGCTGCCAGAGCCACATGCTCAAGTGGGCTAGTGTCCCTTCACTCCCCTTATACCCAGGCCCACACTAGGGTCATGTTTAACTTCTAGACCCAGGGTGCCAGCCTTCTGTCCTGTCCAAGGAATTAGGTCAAGGAATGCACAGGGAACTGTGGAGAGGAAAGAGTGTTTACTTAATCAGAAGTCCTTTCAAGGAACCTGAATTATGTCAGTATAAAAAAGGCAGTAAAATGACAAAGAATGGAGAAATGGAGAACAGTCACAGAAGAAAGGACAGAGAGTGAACAATTGTCAAATCACATGATGCAGAGGTCAGGCCTTAAGCCTCCATCTGATCACTATTTTAGACCGGTAGACAGATATCACTGGGAAGCCCTTTCATTGATGGCCTCTCAAACCCCCAGCCTAGTCATTCTGCCCCAACCAGTAGCTTGCAGCTTGGAAACTAAAGGGCTCCCATATTATCATCTCTCATTATACTGAAGGATAGTCCGGAGTCTCTTAATGAAATGCTACCTGATGTCATGAAATTCCCTCACTTGGGCCCTAAGCACATGGAGGCTGGAAAGTTGTTGGAGTAGTCAAAGAGGGACATGAAGATGATGAACGAGGAGTCATGCTTAAAGACCAAAGACAGGTAGAAGCACTTTCCCACATTGCACAGGAATATGGGGAAGAAGCACAAACCAGGCAGCCAGGAAACTTGGCAGAGTTTGAGGCTCACAAATGTAATGCTTGTGCTTGATCCTCCTACCTAGGGACTGGGAACTCAGAAAAGTTCACTTTCCCTCAGGAAGCGATGTATATGTATGGTCTACTTGGATATTGATGGGAATGGCTCTAACTAGATTGACAATAAGTTGACCACATTTAAAAAAAGTATGATATTTGCAAGACAGATTGTGCCATGACGTAATTGGTCTGTTTTCTAAGATAGCATGACAAACATGGTAAAAAGCAAAGGTTTCTGACTTTTAATTCATCAATAGTTCTGCCTTCCACATTCAAACTCTTTGTTCTACAAAGGGTGGAGCATTGAAACTGCACATCAGCATCCTAACTAAGCATGTTATAATAGAGTTAGTGATGCCCAACTGTATACAGGATTGACCCAGTGCCCATGTTTGAGCAAAGATGACAGTTGTAGCATTTGGAAGCACAGTTTTGCTCCTTTTAATTTGTCCATCTGAGATGAAACACTGGTCCTATTTGATTTTAACATACTTTTCATCAAGGTACAGCCTTGCATCTAGACCTAAAATGTGTATCTTCTATTCCCTAAAAGATAAATGTTATTGAGACTATTACTCCATTCTGTTTTACAGAGATAGAAGATGCAATAAATAGTACACTAGAAAGTATCTTTTGAAATTATCTTTAATTTTTGTTTATGGCTATGTGTCTGTTTGACTAGATGTATGTATTAGTGCTGTGTGTGCCTCCTATCTGTAGAGATCAGAAGAGCCATAGATCCTCTTTTAACTAGGGTTCTTATTGCCATGAAGAGACACAATGATCACAGCAACTTTTATAAAGGAAATTGAAGCTAGCTTACAGTTTCAGAGGTTTAGTCTATTATCATTATATCAGGAAACATGGTATCATGCTGGTAGGCATGGTGCTGGAGGAGCTGAGAATCACACGTCTTGATCCACAGACAAGAGTAAATGAATTGTCTACCACACTTGTCCACAGGAGACCTCAAAGCCCACCCCACAGTGACACACTTACTCCTACAAAGCCATAGCTACTCTAACAAGCTACACCTGCTAATAGTGCATTACCCTTGGGGTCATTTTCTTTCAAACCACCACAGATCCCATGGGAGTGAAATTGAAATCAGTTGAGTGATGTCATGTGGGTGCTGGGATCTGAATAGGTATCCTCTAGAAGATCACCCAGTGCTCTTATTGGGTGAACACTTTTTTCACCACCTCTAGACAACTTTTGTCTGGGAATAAATGGTATGGGTCATTTATATCACAAGACAAACTCTAATTCTTTAGGTCTCTTTTTCCTAGAAAAGCATTTTCTACAGCAGCACATGGTAAATGAGTAATTTTCCATTACAGGGTCTATTGGCATTCAGGGATGTTGCTGTGGACTTCTAGGAGGAATGGGAATGTCTGGAATCCTCTTGGAGGGACCTATGTATTGATGTAATGTTGGAGAACTACAGGAATCTAGCTTTTGTCGGTAAGAATTCTCTTGTTGAGGAATATATCATCCTTGGTATTTATTTGCTTTGTATGTATGAAAACTCTCTGAGCAGTTTGGAGCCCACCAGAAATGAGGGAAATTCTGGTAATAAACAACTTTTTTAGGATTTTTCTTTACAGTTTTCTTTTGTTCTCCGAAAGAGCAATCAATACTACATACTGTGTAATCTCTCCAGCCTTCTTATCTGGTATTGATGAAAACTTCCAAGTTCAAAGAAAATTGAATATTCAGAGCAAGGAAATTCATTTTAATGTACTTAGTAATTGGAATATATTGATATTAATAAGGAATCACAAGGTGGAAGGTGCCACTGTATACCTTTCCACCACACAGCTCTTGGGAGAGGAGAAAACTGAATTTTCCTGGTCAGGACTTTTTTTTTACACTTCTCCTCCTCCTCCCCAGGAAGCACAGGAAAGATCTAGAAAGGGAAAGTACAGTAGGTTTAACCATCTCCCAAGCCCTAGATCCCTTCCCAAAACCAAGCACCCTGGGAAAGATGTCCAGGAGGTGACAGGGCCAGCCAGCCTTGCTAGACCATGCTGCATCAGGTATAGAGCAGACCCACCAGTGAGCAGACGCATCAGACCCAGAAGCTACGTCTTGACGGGGACAGGTAAAATGGCTGTGAACAGTATAGTTGGCTCCAAGCAGTAGCAGTGGCCACCAGGGCAGGAAAGGCCGAGTCTCCACCTTGCATGCAAGCTGTTGATCTAGTCCCCCCAGGAGACTTGTCTAATGCTTGCACCTTGGACAGCCATGAGCAGCTGGCGATTTCCATGCTTGTCACCATGCAAGGTGCCTGGATGATGGGAGCTTTTTGGACAACAGATGATATCATGGGCAGGTTCTTGGGAAGGAGGCTCCAGAGCAGCCAGAGACAGGGTGGTGGGGATCAACTCTCACACCAAAACCGATCTGCATTGGGGGTGACTGTAGTTAAGTTCTCCCACATGCACCAGGCCCTCTATTTTAACTGGGAAGAGTAGGTTGTGTCCCCTCCCTAGGATTCCTCTGCATGAATGGAGTGGTATCCAGCAGATCAATGGCAGCTGCCTGCCCTCTTGACATCCAGAAAGCCATTGTCCCATGTCTTGAAGGGGGCAGGGAGCTGCAGGAACCTGTGTGTGTGTGTGTGTGTGTGTGTGTGTGTGTTTGAAGCTTTTCTTGGCTGCCTGTGAAGGGAGGTGCCACACTGGTGCTTACTGAGATTTCTTCCAACAGTGTCGTGGAAGGGCCTGGTGCCAAGGTAAGGAAGAAATTCAACCTCAGTCATTTCCTGCCCAAGGATGTGGGAGTACAGCCAGGTGCTGGCCCATTTGGCAAAATTCATTCCAGGCGCTGAAAACAGCATTTGTGGGGAAAGGGAATGTCACAGTGAATACAAAGGAAAGATCCAAAGGTGCTTCCTTTTCCAGTCATTTGAAATAAGAAAGATAGGCTGAGACATAGCTCAGTTACCTGAGCAGGCACATAGCACTGGATTCTATACTTGGTTGGATTTAGGACATGGTGGTACATACTTGCAATACAAGCACTTAAGAGAAGAAGGCTGGGTAACATTTCAAGGTCATACTGAGGGACAGCTTTTCTCACTTAAAAAACTAAGCAGAAAAAGAAAATAGCCTTTATGGATCTGGGCCACAGTGTGGATGTCTAGTCTCCAATCAGTTCCTTTCTCTATGGCCCTTGAAGGGGGTACTGCAGCCCCTCTCTGGACAAGGGACTCCATTCTCCATGAAGGAGACCCCCTCCACCCTGCACAGTGGGGGCTTCCTCTGGAATCCCAGAATAGGCACAAACCACACCCAAACACTGCTTTCACTGAGAGATCATTCATTAAGCAGGGAAGAAAGGTTAAAGTGGCTGCTTTCAAACTCAGGCAGAACAACAACAGGAAATGAGCTTGTATGTGTTATGTTAAGAACAAAAAAAAAAAAAAGGAAGGTCTGTATTACAATGGGTGCGGAGGTGGTGGTGCATTTTAATAGGGCATGTTATTTAGGTGAGCCAAAGAGGGCTTTTTTTTTCTTTTCTTTTTCTTTTTTTTTTTTTTTTTGTTTTTTTTGTTTTTGTTTTGTTTTTTGAGACAGGGTTTCTCTGTGTAGCTTTGTGCCTTTCCTGGAACTCACTCTGTAGCCTAGGCTGGCCTTGAACTCACAGAGATCCACCTGCCTCTGCCTCCTGAGTGCTGGGATTAAAGGTGTATGCCACCACCTCCCAGCAGGAGGGCTTTTGAGTGCTGGACTTTGGATAGCTGGATTTTGGCAGTCAGCCTCAGGAGGAGGAAGTTGCCATATAAGGTAATAATAGACTTTGGTAGCTGGCTCTAGGGGTATCATCTAATGATTTTTAGCAAGGCAGAGGGAATTGGGCAGAAGGCTAGGCTACCGGAGCAGCATGCTCAAGTGAGCTAGTGTCCCTTCATTGCCTTTGTTGTGCCCAGATCGTGACCCCCAGGGAGACCACCAAAGAGGAGCATGCCGGAATGCAAAAGCAAGGTTTAATTCTGCATATACAAGCCTAGGCAGGGACTTTGTCCAATACATCCAATGCAGTGGAGGCTGGAGGAAGTGCCCACCTATCTGCAAGCTTAGCTTTTAAAGGGAAAAATCACAAGGTTACATCATTTAGGGGTGCTAGTACAGGTGTAATTCTGATTGGCTCGCTTCTAGGGACTTCTTAGAAACTTCTAAGGGAGTGGTTGCCTGACACCATTTCTCATTGGCTGCTCTCAGGTGGGGGCATTTCTGTGGTCAGTTACCCTGGAAACCAGGGAGAAGACATTCCATAGTCCGGCAGGCATTACCTCGTGACTACCTTGTGACTCTGTACGTTTACACTTCCTGTTTTCTGGAATCTGAACTGACTGGTTTCAGTAACTAATGGTCTATTACCAAAAGGAGAAATCTTAGGCCTTAATTTTAGGGTGAAAGCATTTTGGTCTTATTTCTAAGATGGCTCATTTTGGTCTCACAGCCTTTATACGCAGGTCCACCCTAGGGTCATGTTCAACTCTTAGAGCCAGATTGCCAGCCTACTGTCCAGCCTAAGGAATTAGGTCATGGCAAGACATGGGGAGCTGTGGAGAGGAAAGAGTGTCTATTTAATCAGAGAACATTTGAAGGGACCTGGTTTATGTCAGTATAAAAAGGCATTAAAATGAAAAGGAATGGAGACATGGGGAACAGTCACAGAAGAAAGGGCAGAGTGAACATCATCAGATCACATGATACAGCAGTCAGGCCTAAAGCCTCCATCCCATCTTTATTTTAGGCAGATAGACAGATATCAGTGGGAAGCTCTTTCTTCCACTGCCCCTCAAACCCCCAGGCTAAGGATTCTGCCTCCACCAGCAGGTTGTAGCTTGGAGACTAAGGGCATCCACATTGCCATCTCTCATTATACTGAGGGACACCCTTGGATCTTTTAATTAAATGGTACCTGATTTCATGATTCTCTTATTTGGACCCTAAATATATGAACAGGCTGGCAAGGTAGACAGAGGGACATGAAGATGATGAACCTAGTGTCATGCTTAAAGACCAAAGACAGGTAGCAGCACTTTCCCACATTACAGAGGAATATCAGGGGAAGAAACACAAGCCATGCAGCCAGGAAGCTTGGAAGTCAGCAGCTATCCTTAGGCTGTAAAGAACAGGAAATGCCCCAGCCCAGGTTGGTCCTCAGAGACACTTGAGACTGGGAAAACCTTTCTAGGCTTGAGTACCATTGGGGAGGGCTGATATCCCAAGGTGAGTTGGTGGCGCCTGCCTCTAAGGTACTTAATTTTTTTTCTTTCTTTTTTGAGACAAATTTTCATGTATCCAAGGTTAGGCTGAAACTCACTATGTTGTCAAGAATGACCTTGAATTTCTTAGCTTCATGTTCATACCCCTCAAGTGCTGGGATTACAGCTGTGTACTACCATAGTTGACTTACATGTTGCCCCAGGTCAAACTCAGGATTTCTTGAACTATGTTAGGTAAAAAGTCTTAACAATGGAGCCACACCCCACCTCCTAAATATTGGAATAGAATAATTGGAATTTTCTAATGTATATACATGTATGAATGTATATACACTCACATCCCTGCCTGGTCACACATCTAAAAACTGTACATATGGCCTGGAGTGATGCTTCAGTGTTCTAGCATGAATACTGCACTTGCAGAATACCTATGTTTAGTTCCTAACATCCACACCAAGCAGCTCACAACTACCTGTAAATCAAGATCCAAAATATCTGATGCTCTGTGGGCATCAATGGATTCTGTGGGCATTTGTACTCACATTCACATACAATTTAAAAATAATTTTAAGAAATCTTAGCTAGACATGGTGGTACATGCACTTGAGAAGCAGAGGCAGGTGTATCTCAATGTACTCAAAGCCAACTTGTTCTACATAATGAATTCCAATACAGCCAGAGCTTTATAGTAAGATCTTGTTAATAAAACACAAGCAAGAAAGTAATAATTTTTAAGTCTAAAAATAATATATTTGTATACAAAGCTACATATATGATACACCTGTATTTGAAAAGGATAGTTTCTTTAGTACTTTGGGATGTGCTTTGTTTCGTGCTCAGCTGCAGATAGAACCCGGGGTCACACATGCTACACAAGTCCTCTACCACATGCCTCTAACTAGTCCCACCCCACCATTATTCTTTCTTGGTGTTCCTCTTAGACTTTGTTGATCCCAAAAGCCTGTACCCTATCTTCTCCTTATCACATGAAAATACCTCTGAGGCTCAGTTTTAGCCAAAGACATTGAAACTCAAGGAAAAAAAAGACAGAGGAATTACCTAGCTTTCTGCAAGAGAGAAGAGAGTTTTAGGTCTAATACTAGGCCCTCAGAAAGAGAGAGCATGAGCGAGAGAGAGACAGAGACAGAGACAGAGACAGAGAGAGACAGAGGCAGAGACGAGACAGAGACAGAGGCAGAGGCAGAGAGACAGAGACAGAGAAAGCAGGTGGTGGCAGCACTCACTCTGCATGGATCCTGGAGAAGTCCAGTCTCAGGTCACAAAGGGAGGTGGTAGAAAGTGGACACAGCAAAAGAAATGAAAGGGATGAGGAAGCAAGTGAGGACAGCTACACTCTTTGGCATGGCTGTGATAGAGTGATTTTTGCAGTTTTGTATGTTTATTAACTCACCTCTACTTTGTATCTTGGTCATTTGTTGGAGTGCTTTTTTTCTCAGCTAGAATGGGAACTTTTTAAGCATTTACCCACTGAGCTACAATCATTGTAATAACTGAACTTCAAGCACTGATGACAGTGAGCTACAGTGATTAAAGTTCAGAGTCTCTTCTGCGATTCAAGCAATCTCTAATGTAATCCCCTGTAAAATCAAAATCAAAACCCAATCACATATTTCCAATATATAATGGCACAGAATATACATTACCATATATATATATATATGTATATATGGAAGGAAAAATTGGACATAGTGAGGAAAAATTGGACAAAAGCAAGACTGAAAGAAAAACAACTGGGTAAACTACAAACTCTGCATCTTCATGTCTGATGTCAAAGCTCCTCTGATCTCCAATTCTTTTCAGTTTCATTGACTGCAACACACTTCTGTCTCTGGGCCAGGTTCCCTCTCTCTTTGGCAGATATTTTATGGTTCTGGCAGCTCCAACATCTTGGGGTTTAGAAGGCAATTCAGGCTTCATTTGCACAGCTTCACACAGTGGTCTCTTGGGTCTGTATGCAGGAACACTGCTGATACATTGCTGACCTCAGCTGCTTTCCTTAATTGTGGAGGAAAATTGCATAACCTATTTCTTCTATCCATGACTCTAAAACCATAACCTGGTGGCCAAAACTGCCATCTTCTGCTGTTTCCTGGGGCTATAACATGGCCCCCTTGTTCAATTACACCAAAAACCCTAGCTTACTGTGTTTTCCATGGTTTCCTTCATTGTCATAGCTTCACTGTCCTGGAACTCTTTCTGTAGATCACGCTGGCCTCAAACATAGAGATCCACTTGCCTCTGTCTCCAGAGTACTGGGATTAAACATGTACCACCACACCTGGCTCTAAACTTTTAATTCCTTTTCACAAGTTGGAAACAGCTTGGTGAGATCTTGTCTTGAGGTCATTACACATTTAATTCTATTTCTTAGTGTGCGTCTCCTTGAATACAGCAATTTATTCCATTCCATTTCCTGGTGCTCCTTTTGTCTCTAAAGTATAAATTTTGTATTTCTCCTTCCTCAACTTCCTTCTTTTCATTATACAACTTTATTAGGGTTAATACTATTTAACCCACAATACCAGGATTATAGTTGTCTGTCTTGAGATTTCCTTAGACAATACAATTAATTCAAAATTCTTCACAGGCAGACTTTTTGGACAATGGAAAAAGGCAGCCACATTCTTCAACAAATTAACACAAGAATGATTGCTAGGCAGCATAGAATCCTCTTGAGCCAGGCTCCCACATTTCCAATCATCCTCAGCATGACCGTCTTCCAGTGCTCTGACTTTGGCCCATTTGCTCTTACAATGGCCCATACTTTTATGGCTCCTACTTTTATGACCATTCAGCAATGCTTTTGTAACCGAGAAAAACAAAGTCCAAGTTTCTTTATACAGAAACATGGTCAGGCCTATCATAGCAATACTGCAGTTCTAGGTAACAACTGTTATCTTCGTTAGGTTTTCAAATGCGGTGAAAACACATCATGACTGCAACAATTTTATAAAGGAAAGCACTTAATTAAAATAGTTTACAATATCAGAATTTTGTTCCATTATCATCATGGCAGGAAAGATGGTGGAATCTAGGTAGACATGGTGTTGGAAAAGGAGCTGTGAGTACTACATCTTGATCTGCAGATCTACAGGAAGTGAACTGTCTACCACACTAAGCATAGCCTGAGAATAGAAGACCTCAAAGCCACTCCAACAGTAACACAATTCCCCCTATAAGGCCACAACTACTGCAACAACATCACACCACTTAATGGTGCCGTTCCCTTTGGGGGCCATTTTCATTCAAACCATCAAAGAGCCCAGGGAACTGGAAGTAGAATCAGTTGCATGATGTCATGTGGGTACTGGGATGTGTATGGGTGTCCTTTAGAAGAACAACTAGTGCTCTTATCTAATAAGCCATTTATTTTTTACAATCTCTAGAAAATATTTATCTTCAATTAATGGACATGTATCATTTACATCACAAAACATTCTCTATTTCCTTTGCTAGGAAAGCATTTTCTCCAGCAGCACATGGTAGAAAGATAATTTTCCATTACAGATTCTGTAGACATTCAGGGATGTGGCTATGGACTTCTTCCATGAGAAATGGGAAAATCTGCTATCCTATTGGAGAAACTTGTGCATTGATATGATGTTTGAGAGTTACAGCAATCTAGTTTTCATTGCTAAGAATTTTCTTCTTGAGGAATATCTACCTTATACATTATATTTATCTGCTTTCTAAATAATTCTAGAGACTATCATAAATGACAAAAATCTGGTAATAAACATAACTTTGTCATGTTTTTTTCATTACTGTTTTCTTTCTTCTCTGAAAAAGGAACCAGTACTATATTTGGGTGATCTATGCAGACCACTTACTTAGTATTTTGAAGACTGTAAATTTCAAAAAAAAAATGTTGAATATTCAGAGCAAGGAAAAGCATTATACTATACTTACTGATTAGAATTTATTGATATTAATATCAGATTAAACTTTATTATTTCTTCATTTTAAGAAATTCAGAGGTTTTTAAATGAAGAAAATTGGTTCTGATGAACTTTTTTTTTTTGGTTTTTTGAGACAGGGTTTCTTTGTGTAGCTTTGTGCCTTTCCTGGAACTCACTTTTTAGACTAGGCTGGCCTTAAACTCACAGAGATCCAACTGCCTCTGCCTCCCAAATGCTCAGATTGAAGGTGTGTGCCACCACCGCCCAGCTTCTAGTGAACATTTTACGGCTTTTTTCACCTCATTTATTTATTTATATTTAAGTTGTAGTCTATTTAGTCCTGGCAGCATAGGACAGCATGATTTTAATCCTAGCACTTAGGAGAATGAGGTAAGAGGATATGGTTAATTCCTGACAAGTCTGTGTTACATATGTGTTCTTAGATGACCAAGTTTATATGTTGTGACCTTCTCAAAAATATAAACAGTAAGAATATAAAAGTCTTCTACATATGATCTTACAGAGAGCTCCTTTCTCATAATGCATTATTGCTTAATCATCTATTTGTCCCAACTTCTACAAGGTTTGCATTTTATATAAAAATGAGGTGGCTACTATCAGTCCTCAGTGTTTGATGACAATTAGATTGGTTCTGAGCATGCATGTAATAATAGTGAAACACAAATGGCCTCTGCTGAGAGCTCTGTTTCTAAGAATACCTAGGTAACTTGCCTTATAAAACTTAAAGAGACATTAGTTTTTGAATCTGTAAACATGCATCAATCCCTATAAGCCATATTTGTGCTCATTTTCCAGAGTAATATCATATATGGGAGAAATATATGAACATCTTGAATCAAGGGTCAAAGCTCATTATCTCCCATTCTGTGAATATTCAAGAGAAGTCTCATGAATTTAATGAGATTGGCAAAATGGCCCACAAATTCTCCCAAAGTACACCTTATAACACAAGTGATCTTACAAAGAATTGCAACAAGTATGGATGTGGTAACCACAGGGATGCCTCTACTAAATCAACAAACCCAAAGAATACTAAAAGTGGGAACACTGGAGAAGAATGTTGCAAGTATAGAGACTGTGGAAAACAGTTAAATTTGTGTTCTATCACTAGTGAAAGACTTCATACTAAAAAGAAACTACACAAAACTGTGGACTGTGATAAATCATCTGACTGTAAACACACACTCATGCTGGAAGAAAACTCTAGTGTAGAGAAACTACACCAATGCAGGAAATGTGGCAAATGCTTCAGGTCATACTGGAGTTTCAGCAAACATCGTAGATCTCATTCTGGAAAAAAATTCTACAAATGTAACAAATGTGGAAAGTGGTTTTACTTCTTATATCAGGCTAAACTCCATTATAAAACCCATAGTAGAAAGGCACCTTACAAATGTAGTGAATGTGAGAAATGCTTTCTCCAGAAAGACCAACTTTTGACACATCAGAAAATTCATACAATACAGAAACCTTTCAAATGTAATCATTGTGAGAAATGCTTTGTACGTGCTGATCGTCTTAAAGTACATCAGAGAATTCATTCAGGAGAGAAACCTTTCAAATGCACTGATTGTGAGAAATCCTATGCATATGCCTCAGATCTCAGAATACATCAGAGAATTCATAAAGGAGAAAAACCATTCAAATGTAGTGATTGTGAGAAATGCTTTACACATGCCTCTTGCCTTAGAGTACATCAGAGAATTCATACAGGGGAGAAACCTTACAAATGTAGTGAATGTGAGAAATCCTTCAGACAGTTTTCAAATCTTACACAGCATCAGATCCTTCATACAGGAGAGAAACCTTACAAATGTAGTAAATATGAGAAATCTTTTGCATATATGTCAAGTCTTACATATCATCAGAGAAGTCATACAGGGGAGAAACCTTACAAATGTAGTAAATGTGAGAAATCATTTTCACGTGCCTTTCATTCTTAGAAAACATCAGAGAATTCATACAGAAAATTGACCTTTCCAATGTAGTGATTGCGAGAAATCCTATAAATAGGATTACAATCTTAGAAAACATCAGATCACTCATACAGGAGTGAATGTGAATGTAGTAAATGTGAGAAATTCTGTACACAAGGGTCAAGTCGTAGACAACATGAGGTATAGATAACATACAGGAGGGAACACTATGAGTGTAATGAAGGTACCAAAGTCTCTATCTGCCTCTTACTTCTCAGAATACTTGAAAAACTTCATCCTGGAGAGAGAAGCTTCCATAGTAAATAATGTGCCATGTGATTCATATAAAGATCTGTAATCAGAGGTTACTGCACGGCCATACAACTGGAACATTATGAAAATGAGATATTTTTGAAAGCCTTTAAGTAATATGCAAATCTTACAAAACATGAAGTTTATACTGAGGAAAGTTTCTGAAAATGTGTCAATGTAGGGCAATTTTCATTAAAACATGATACTTCTTCAACCTCAAATTTTGCATAAAAATGAAAAGTGAAGAAGGCTCGACACTGTGCTATATTATATCAATTTTCTGGGGTCTGAAACATTCCATCCTTAATAGAAATTGATTAACCAGGAAATAAAGACTTCTAATCATTTCAGGAAGTCCAAATAAACTGACAGAATTCACCATCCTAAACTCTCCTGAAGAAATGGAGACCAGCCATGCTGCTTAGAGAAGGCACTGATGAACTAAGTCTCCTACAAAAGATGCCATGCAACCTGTAGATATATCTCCAGCTGTGCAGTGAATTCTTCTGTGTTTGGGGTTCATAAGCCCTATCCCACAGAGTGTTGGATTTCATGTTGACAACTATTTTTTTTCAGTCCGATTTGCTCCTGTAACCAACTTGTTTCCGTATTCTTTAAGATAACCCAAAGAGAGCCTGTTAATTCAACAAACTTCATCTCAGTGGTATCCATTCTTGGTTCTGTTTTCAATGCACATTTTGAGTGAGTAGATGCATATGTGTGCTGCTTCTTCTTAGGAAAAATATATCATAAATCATGAACTAACCTCATTAATAGTTCTTCCCAAACATGTATACATCAGAAAATTGATATCAGAGATTAAGCATTGAAATGTTCACCACTGTGTTAGATATGTGATTCATTGTACCTTATAAAATCCACTCTAGAAACTTCTAGAAATGAATTGATGTTGTCAAAACCTACTGATAAAAGTAAACTCCTGAAAGTTGATCCTGAAATAACCCATCTCCACAATCATACAGTAAAAATTTATCTATTATCTACCTTCACCTTTATTATGGAAAGGATACCTGCAAGTAGAATGTGAGTATTTTAAAGTTATAACCTGTAATCATGACAACATACATGTGAATGAAATATCCAAATGTGGGAAGAAAATTAGTTTATCAGTGCTCATCTCAGAAAACCATAAATCAATTTAAAGAACAAAGTAATCACAGAAAACTCACATAGAAATACGAAGACAAACAGATTTATACATTAGACAACTAAGAATCAAATGCAATGTATTAAACTCTGATAGATTTCAGTGAGAAATTCTTCTTTGGAGTAACTGTGAAATGTTTTTTGGAAATATGTTTGTATTACCAGTATTGGATTTGTTGATTTGTCAACACAGTTGCATAGTTAACCTACAACAGAAACTCCTTTGCCATTTTTGATTTCCTTGAATGTAGCTATTAATTTTCAAGTTTTTTTTTTCAATTTGTAAATTCTCCCTTGCAGTTTCGTTTGTGGCCTTTACTATAGAATTTGCATTTTTTTAGTTTAAATTTTTTCTTATTTCAAAAATGTATTAGTTGAAATATAATTACATCATATCTCCCCTCACCTTCTTCCACACAGCACCTCTCAGATACGATCCCTTAAGCCCATTTCATGTCCCTTCTACATTCAAGTTTATAGCATTTTTTCCTGTCATTATTTTTAAGTATTTTATCTGTGAGTCTGATTTTGTCATTTGTGTATATATGATATCAAAAATACTATTCTGTTCTATTGGAAAACCATGAAGGGGGCTCATCTCTGTGAAATGTTGGCAACATATGAGAGGAACAGCAAGCAACCTTGGAACTCAGACCACAAATTTGTAGCTAGGAAAATGATGCCAAGTGAGGTTAGAGAATCAGAGCCCTGAGGATTATATGTCCTCTAAACCTCATGCTGTTACAGAGCATGGTTCTGCTTATTGCCCTCATTCTCGCAATGTCCCTCATCATCTCTGAAGTTTATGAAAATTTTAAGGAGGCCTCTCACCTTTTATTGGACAGTGTTACTGGTATTTAAAATAATAGTGAATGACTCAACCAACACTTTTAGAAAGAACTTACACATGTAGATTGTTAGTAATGATAGGTTAAGTTGTTTTTGTTAATGGCTTTAATATAGAAATCTTGGGGAACAATTTAAGGGTTAGAAAGGCATACTTTTAATGATTTGGTGAAAGAGCTGATTAATTACTTGTACATATTTTTGCCCTCTACTTCCTGATATGATTTAATAAAAAAATTATTGATGAATGTGTATGCACTCAGAGGATTTAAACTAGAGATAAGTGGTTGTTTTAAATATATAAAGGATAAGGTTTCTGATTCAGATTTTTATAAAATTACCTTTTGTGTTAATAATAAAGTGATTGATCCTTTCTTTGTAACCATGAATTGAAGCCTGCCAGTAAAAAGAAAAGTGGCTAAGAAAATGTCTTGCTTACACTTTGTTAATCTATAATAAGTTGCATAGACATGAATGTATGTAGGTCTTTGAGAATAAATTGGTTTTTCACCTGTAGTATGTAAATGTTTAATCATGTCAGAGAAATGAGAAACATTTGTTTTTGACCTCTATTCACTGTAAGCATTCACTTGAAAATATAATGTACCCACATTGTGAGGGAAGGAAGACATGAGGAAAAAAGTAAGGGAAAATGCAAAGAATAGAGACCCTGACTTGTTGAAGGTGTGTGTGTATGTCTGTGTGTATGTGTGTGTGTGCTTCCCATTTTCAATAGCCCCAGAGAATTAAGTTTTACTCCCTTGGATAAAAATCTCAATTGTGTGATCAGCTACCTACTCCATGTCTCTTCTTCAGTTCCTGAGCTGCTGAAATTTTATTCTGGCCATCAGTAGTTGCCTGTACTCCTTTGGTGGTGGAGGGACCACATGAAATGGGAAAACATCCTAAATGGCTTTGAACTGAGGAATAGATAATAACAATGTGATAAAGACCACTGTAATGTTTATTTTTTATTTTTTTAGCTGTAAATCATTAACTGTACAGGTAAATGGATGGAGTTACATCAAATCAAATTGGATGTGCTTCCTCTGGTCCAAAAAGACAAAGCTCAAAAGTTCTCTTTCATCTTACACTTCCAGCTCTAAAGCTTCAGACATGAGCACATGTTCTTGAGTAATTGCAAAAACCAGAAAAGTAAGAAAATGATTTCTGGGGTAAGGGTCAGATAGCAATAGAGAAGGGAAAGGCAGGATATAATTGGTATGATCAAGGAAATGGGAAAGAGAGGGCTTCTTCCTGGACACTTTTTCCTTTTCCTCAGCCCTCTGCAGGCAGGAAACCTGGGTGCAACACGAATCTTAAAAGGTCTTATTAGCCCGGTGGTGGTGCACGCCTTTAATCCCAGCACTTGGGAGGCAGAGGTAGGCGGATCTCTGTGAGTTCAAGGCCAGCCTGGTCTAAAAAGCCAGTTCCAAAACAGGCTCCCTGACACAGAGAAACCCTGTCTCAAAAAAAAAAAAAAAAAAAAAAAAAAAAAAAAGAAAAAAAAAAAAGAAAAAAAGAAAAGAAAAGAAAAAGAAAAGAAAAAGAAAAAGAAAAAAGGTCTTATTAATGAAAAAAACTCAAAGCCAGATATTGTGGTGAAAACCGAAACATCAGAGAAACAGAACAAACCAGCTATATTCTTACTTCTACAAAATCCACAGCCTCAAGAGAGAGAGTTCCTGTTTACTCACGCCTTATAGACCTTTCCATGCTCTGACATCTTCCTTCTTTCCTAGTGCTGGGATTAAGGACGTGTGCCACCACACCTGACTCTGTTCCCAGTGTGGCCTTGAACTCACAGAGATCTGGATGGATCTCTGCCTCCCAAATGCTAGGATTAAAGGCATGTGCTACCACTGCCTGACCTCTATGTTTAATATAGTGGCTGGCTTTGTCCTCTGATCCACGGGTAAGCTTTATTAGGGGTACACAATATATCACCACAGCTGGGTGCTCAGACCTCACCTTACTTTTCAAGCTCTCTCAGAGGGCACCAGGGAGAAAGAACTCAGCCCTGGGCTTCCTCAATCCCGGTTCTGAAAATGTCCCTTTTCTGTTGATAAAGGACTTCCCCAAGGCCATTTCATCTGCTTCACAGATGAGGAATTGAGGTTCAGGGAGACTGAGAGACTTGTTCAAGTCACACAGCTTCTGAGTGGCCGATCTGAGGCTTGACCCAGAGTTCCTTCTCTCTCTCTGTCTGTCTGTCTCTCTGTCTCTGTCTGTCTCTGTCTCTCTGTCTCTCTGTCTCTGTCTCTCTGTCTCTGTCTCTCTGATTCCTTGCCTCTGAGGAGACTCAGCAGAGCCCCAGCTCTTCTGTCTGGGTTGAGGGGCTCCGCTACTCTGCTGGGTCCCACCAGGGGTGTGTTAGTTCCGTTGTTCACTGTGACCGGACACTTGTCAGGAGCCGCTTGAGGAGAGAAAGGCCTCCTTTGGCTCACGGTTCACAGGGATACAGTCCACAATGGCAGGAATGGCATGGCAGAGCAGCTTCAGGGCAGAGGGAGCTTGTGAATGGCCTCACAATTTGGTGAACAGAAAGTAGAGAGCTCAAATTAGAACCAGGGACAGGTATGACCTTCCAGGCCCATATCACGTGACCCATTGCTACCAGCTGGTGGTTGCCTCTCAAAGGCCCCACAACTAACCAGAATGTCATCCCAAGAAGACAAACAGGTGAGCCTGCAGGGTGGCGGGGGAGGTATTCCAGATTCAAACCAGAAGACGGGACATTTGACCTAAGTAAGGTTCTTACTGAGCTTCACTTAAACTGTTCTACTCATATGATGGCCCTGAGCTTGCCTATGACCCTTCAGGTAGCCCTCAGCCTTGAGGCTGGAAAAACAAGCTATCCCACTAAAAGACCTTGCTCACATGCCCCGCACCTTCTAGTTCCACAATAAAAATTCAGACTTGAGGTTGTTATTGCCTCAAGGCCAAAGGCTTGCCCTGTCTGGACATAGAATGGGCACTCGAGTCTTTCGTTTTCT